TATTTTTTATTTGTAAAATATTTACAATCAAGGACCGATAAAAGTGAAAAAGAATATGTTTTTGTTTCTTTGATGAACTTATTCCTTAATTACATCTGCATTCGTTTTACACACAATCTCACTTTAGTTTTCTCGGTTTAGTGGTCGTGCTTTTTACCAAAACTCAGCCGATCGAGATTTGTCGTCATTGAAATTTTGAGAGTTTTAACTACGCCCACAGTTATATTTTTATGTTATGCTGTGATCAGTGTTAGCTCAGCTTTATAGACTCCGAAGATTCACTCATTGGACAGCATCATCGCTGTTTGGACTGTCTCACTTCATTAACAAAACGAACGCAACTTATGTTTTCTAATGAGAAATATCTGACTGTTTATGACATCAAGGAAAAAAAGTGAGGAATAAAGTTTTTGTTTGTGTATTACAACAGCTTTTCTAACAAAGAAAATTGTTAGTTCTTGTTTTACTCAAATAATAATAATAAATTGTCTTTATTCGATCATTTTACATAATATGTCCAACATTATTATTTTCATATAATATTTTTCTGATATTCATATTAACACAATATTCGCATGAATATTTCGCCAATGCGGATGCATGTATACTGAAAGATTTTTTATTTTATTTTATTCATATATACTAAGTGACATATAAATCCGAACACCCAGTTTAAATGGTTTTATTTTAATATAATTTTGTATAAGTGCTTAATGAAGCATAATAAGTAAATGATAAAAATTTCAAAATGATTGCACTGCTTTAAAGCCCTTTGACCTTTAATAATGTGTGGATGCACACTGATGTGCTACGCATTCTCCAACGCGCCTAGGCATGCTTCTGATCAGGTGGTCAATGTCCTCCTGTGGTATCTCATTCCAGGCAACCACCAACTCCTCTCGAAGTGCTTCTAGAGTCTGAGGAGGACGTTGCAAATTGAGCAATCTCCTACCCATCATATCCCACACGTGCTCAATTGGGGATAAGTCGGGAGATCTTGGTGGCCATGGTAACAATGTGACATCATTATGTTGAAAGAAGTCTATTGTGACTCTTGCAACATGTGATCGGGCATTATCTTGTTGGAAAGTTGGATCTGCCAGGGTGTCAAGATAGGGTAAAAGATGGGGTTCTAGAACTTCGTGGATATAACGCTGCGCGTTCATGTAACCTCTGATGAAGATTAAAGGTGACCTGGAACCATAAGCTATAGCACCCCAAACCATAACTCCAACAGTGTGATGAACATGTCTTTCAACAAAAAACTGTGAATTCCTCCTTTCACCACGTCGCCTTCTAACCCTTACACCGACGTAATCGCCTTGAGTGGTGCAGACAACGGTCACTCTGGGGTCAGGAATGGAACAGTATTGTCTTTAGTGACGAGTCTCGATTTTGTTTAGACATGTACGATGGTCGTGCCAGGGTTAGAAGGCGACGTGGTGAAAGGAGGAATCCACAGTTTTTTGTTGAAAGACATGTTCATCACACTGTTGGAGTTATGGTTTGGGGTGCTATAGCTTATGGTTCCAGGTCACCTTTAATCTTCATCAGAGGTAACATGAACGCGCAGCGTTCTATCCACGAAGTTCTAGTACCCCATCTTTTACCATATCTTGACACCCTGGCAGATCCAACTTTCCAACAAGATAATGCCCGACCACATGTTGCAAGAGTCACAATAGACTTCTTTCAACATAATGATGTCACATTGTTACCATGGCCACCAAGATCTCCCGACTTATCCCCAATTGAGCACGTGTGGGATATGATGGGTAGGAGATTGCTCAATTTGCAACGTCCTCCTCAGACTCTAGAAGCACTTCGAGAGGAGTTGGTGGTTGCCTGGAATGAGATACCACAGGAGGACATTGACCACCTGATCAGAAGCATGCCTAGGCGCGTTGGAGAATGCATCCGCAAATTATTAAAGGTCAAAGGGCTTTAAAGCAGTGCAATCATTTTGAAATTTTTATCATTTACTTATTATGCTTCATTAAGTACTTATACAAAATTTTATTAAAATAAAACCATTTAAACTGGGTGTTCGGATTTATAGGTCACTTAGTATATTTCTCAACAGATACAAGTTGAAATTACAGAGAAACACTATACAAGTGTTAAAACGCTTGTGAAATTACCTATTTTTGAGTGCGATGCGTAACCCGGTATAAATCGCAGGTCTCTTGGATCCAGTGACATTAGGAAACCACCTCTACCCTATCTTCAGTGTAACTATTGATTTAAGATAGATAGAAGATACCCATACAGCTGAAAGTCGTGCCTCCGCGAAATTAACCATACGTACATAGCACCGCCAACCACTTATGCTTACCTAGTCGACCACCGTCTTTAGGTGTGAGCGTTGTGTTATGGGTTTTTCTTTCATTGGAAAATTCTGAGAATACGAAGTCTTAGTATGAATTACCAGGAAGGTAGAGGCGCGATCTTCTCATGTTCAGGAATCAACCATTTTCTTTATAAGGAAAATGCAGACTGTTTTCGATAATTCTAAGATAATTACTGCGATCATACCTGGTAACATCGCAGCGAAATCCAATTTTGCTGCCCCTAAGCGACGCTTTGTGCTTGGAGGTCAAACTGTCAAAGGTAGATAGATGTAGTCTAATCATATTAGAAAATATCCCCGAAATACTTGTAAAGGGGTATACATGGACGCATAAAATGGGTACATCAATTTTTGTGGGATAACGTTTTATTTGACAATAAAAAATGAGAAATCGTGTTTTTTTCGATTCAATCGAAAGTGTTGACAGGAACGAACAAACTTTTTATATAAGATTTTTAGGTATTTATGAGAGCTACAAAATGAGACCACATGTAAAAAGATCCGACTAATAGGAAAAATGTTATGGTCGAAAAACAAGGCAAAATGCAGGTTTTGGTAGTTGTTGCTAATGCGACGATAATGTCACGCAACTACTTGAAATTCTTAGATCCGTAGGATTCATACTTCTAAATAACAACAACAAAATTGGATTATATTGGTCAAATAATTATTTCAGAATGTCTAATTGTTTATCCCAGCTTCAAAGAGCATTTAATAACAAAATACACGTGTTTTCTTTGCCGATATGAATCACAAACCATTCCGAAGATAAATGTTATTTTTATGCGAAACAAAAAAGGTTACGTTTTTTTCTTCTAAACAAATTCAAACATTTCGTATTTGTGGGTAATTGAAAAAATGCGCTACGATATTCGAAAAACATACGTTACTATACACATTTTAAAATAACGCGGATGTGTCTATCATCTTTTGTTGAGAATTACTCACAAATACGAAATGTTTGAATTTGTTTAGAAGAAAAAACGTAACCCATCCTTTTTTGCATAAAAATAACATTTATCTTCCGGAATGGTTTGCGATTCATATCGGCAAGGTAAACTAGTGTATTTTGCTATAGGATGCCCTTTGAACTAACCCTGTATATTTCTCAATCGACTAGTAGTGATGGCCGGAAAACAGGTGTTTTGGGATAAACAATAATTAGAGATTCTTAAAAACGACTTGACCAATCTACTCCAATTTTGTTTTGGTTATTTAGAAGTACGAATTTGAAGAATTTCAAATATCTGCAGTTTGCCTCGTTTTCGACCATAACTTTTTTGCTATTAGTCGGATCTTTTTACGTGTGGTCTCATAAATACCTGAAAATCTGATATGAAGAGGTTTTCCGTTGCTGCCAACACTTTCGATTGACATCCAAAAAACACGTTTTCTCATTCTTTTTTGTCGAATAAAAAGTATTCCCACAAAAATTTGTGTACCCATTTTATGCGTCCATGTTTTGAATACCCCCTTGAACAACTTGCACCAATAAAACCAGACTCCACAATGATTTCGCAAACCAGGGGTATTTTCGTCTAATATGATTAGACTAATGAGAAAAAAAACAAATGTTTACATTATTTTCACATGACCCTGCTTTGGGTCCCCGGGGTAGAGAATCGCTCAACCTTTAAGTGGTGGTTCTCACCGGCCACTGCAGACAGACACTTAACCTTTTTAAGGGTAAGGAGAGATCCAACCTGCCCCGTGTGCTGGCATGAGGATGAGATAGTGTTCCAGCTCCTGGGCTGAGATATTCGGGATATTAGCCTGGCTTCACCCCCCCACTACTACTAGTGTACGTGACTTCACCACGTCCTGCCTCTTAATAACTTTAGACGTGAACGGCAACCTAACAAGCGCCATATACTTCTAGCTTTCCAATGCACGCCCCCATTGTATGCGAACTTCCAAATGCAGCATAGGGTATTCTTAAGTTCAAACGAGAGTAACCTATAACAAATTCCTAATATAATATGTTTGATAAAAAATACTGAGGCCATTATTAATGGATGGTCTGTATCGCGACGCAACCTTAAAGTCACGTAAATACATAACTTTGTATCTTTTACGGATTCCGAGATACCACTGATGGCGAGAATTTGAACATACAAGAATATTAGGCAGGTTCGTAGGTATTTCACTAATGGAATAATGTAATGGCAAATAGGGTTTGGAAACTTGTCAGTCTAGGATCAAGATGAATTCTCGAAAGGCACATGAAGGTTGGCCTAGTATATGAGGGGAACATTATAACGGGATATTCAATAAGGAAGGGTAGATGTTGGAATGGCATGAAACAACCCCTGTGTGGGCATTTACGAAATTATTTTTTAATTGAAAATCCATATGTCGTATGTCATGATATTTATCGAATATGACATCATTCGAATGTCCGACATGACTTCGCATGCTGGCACGAGGGGTCCGATTTTTAACGAATCTGCAGTATGTATCTAACCTAACTGAATTCTAGTTATTCCCTTGATGGCAAACGGTCTAGTATTCAAATGAAAAAATAATTCCATCAATACCTTATACAACTTTTTTTATTACATGTCACTACAGATTCGACCTTATGTCATATCCCTACTAACAATAACTATGATGAGAGATGATATAGAAGAATATGTATCTTTTATTACAGATGTACACTACTGGTACAACAGCACAAGTTTTAAGAACTATTGGTACCCCTAAAATAGTTACGAGTGAGTACTAAATTTTGTAATGAAAATGATAATTCTAAAACAATAATTTGCAACTGTATTTATTCTACAAAATATTTATTTTATTTTCAGAAACCGTACCAATACACGTTGGCAACATAGCACGAAACACGAAAACGATAAGGCTCACACCATCTCAAATGGTAATTCATTGAGACAAATTTGTATTTGAGATACGATTTATCACCATCCGCTTTCAGCAAAACATCAAATTCGTCACGCCAAACCAGAAGGTGCCAGTTCAGCAAACGTGTACCACGTCCACAGCTACCACTTCAGTGCCTATAGTGCCCCAACAGGCATCTCCAAAAAACGCTTCACCGCCTATTTTGACCAGGAAGAGGCCCGATACCACAGAAATGGATTATGCTCCAGAATCGTGAGTACATTTCGACCACTGCAACGAAGACTATAGTAACACAAAAATCCTTGCCTTTGAGTTACTATATGGTATCGGCAGACTTTTTCGGGTTCTCTTTGGTGGAAGAATTCGGTATCTCAGTCATGCAACTATAGGCAACCAGTAAATCTTTGACGTCATATAGTAAGTATAATAGTGATGGTTGCTTACGCGAAAGTTACCTTAGTCTTCGATGAAAAAAATCACGGAAGCCTAACTAACTGTTAAACCTACTATCTGACGTACTATGATTTTCGCGGCATAGTTTAAGGTTACGTTAATTAATAGCAAAAAAGTTTCAAGTATTAGCTGTATGAAAAGAGCAGTTTTCAAAGCGAACTAAAATGAATTCAAGAACCAAAATAATTCTGACAGATGCAAAGAAGCTAAGTGCAGTTGCTGAACCGTTAAATTCAGGCAAGTTTGGTTCATAAATAATGATGAATTCTTTTAACACAACAAAAAGGTTCAAACATAGCATCTTCTTCTGCACGTTCCGCATTCGGATCTGTCGCATCACACTCTCTCATGCCTGTAAAATAAAAAAGTTTTAACAGATAATTCAACTACTACAGTCCACGGTTTTGCTAAGACGACACTCGCGTGTTTGCTTTTCATTCGTTCATCTCCAAGTCTGGACCTGATAGAGACCTATATTACAGAGTTATGTCGTACTGATGAGGGCTAAAGAGCCCTGGCTGCGGTTGGTCGTGGATCCAGTAGTTTTCAATAAAAGGTAAAATCGGAAAATTGCAACAAAGACGATTGTGGAGAAAAGTTGAAAATAAATAAGTGCCTCGTGAAATGAAATATAAGTGTGACTATGCTGATGATCTCACTATAATAATATTGATCATCAGCGAATGAGACCGCAAAACAATACGCTTCAGGACAAGCTTGCTTCCAGAAAATTAAATGGTTTATTAGACCTATGTAAATCAAAGCAAACAGTCTTCCTAACATTCCTGAGGCTTACCTGCTCTTCATTTTTCTCTAAAAGCCAATGAAGATAAAAAATGCAAAGAGGACATAATATTAACAGTGCTGAAAATACAGGAGTTGAGAACGATGATAGTGGAGAAGACGAAGATGAATATAATTTGAGTGACTCAGATTGGCATTAAAGAGGTTCTTTTTTCGACCATTGGTTTGAAAAATGAATGCATATCCTACTAAGTCTAGAGCAAGTGTCCTTTTGTCTTTAATTGATCCAATGAAAACTATAGTAAGTCAGCAAAATTTATAAAAAATGTCATTTTCACTAGGTTTGTATAGTAATACCATTTATAACCTTCAATATACAAGAATGCAATGTGCAACATATTTTTGATGAAATCGTCGTTTTTCTGACAACGAAATTCATCAGAAAATCTTCTAATGCCTGTATCTCAGTTCAACCAAAACTGAGTTACAATAGTCTTCCTTGCAGAGGTCGATTTGATCCGTCTCAAGTTAGAGTCCAAAAATGCAGCACCTTCAGTTTCGCCACTTCTCCTTGAAAGAAGAAAGTAAAAACATTCAGAATACTTTTTGAACTCAAAACTGTGAGATTCTGTCGATGATTCTGTCTGCAGTTTTAAAGGAACATTTGCGTTTCAGAAAAAGGAGTAGAAAACCAGAAAAGCTCGGTAAAGGTCTCAGGCATTTTTCGATGAAAGTTTGTGAAAAAGTGAAACAGAAAGGCACGACGACATATAATGAAGTGGCAGATGAGCTGGTTGGTGAATTCACAAGTGCTTCCAGTAACAACAGTTTGGCTGATCAGTATGATCAGAAGAATATCAGGAGAAGGGTGAGACTTTATCGCATTTTAAAATAGGATATGTTTTAATGCGATGACTGGCTATGAAAAGGCAAATATAACATTTATTAGGTCATTCTGCTACATTTGTAGAAAATGATTTGTATAGGAGAAACATAATTTTTACAAAAACATCCAAGATAGTGTGTTTTCTACCTAGACAAAATTGCTTCTTAATAGTTTAAATCGATTGTCGACGTAAATATAGATATTTCCTTAAAAAAGAAAATACAGTAGCGACTCGATAATCCGGATCAATTAAAACCAGGTGCAAAAAAAATCAGTTATTTTTGTTTGCCTTTTATGTTCAGAATGCAACTTAATAACAGCTTCTTCTCTTAAGTCTTTTAAAGCAAGGATTGAGGTAAGTGCAATATTGTTGTCTTCTGCCCATTTAATCCCTGATGTAAAATGCGCAATTGCCTCTTCATGCTTAACTTTTGGAACAGTAAATTGGTTTCCATTTTGTGTTTCTACGTCACTTAGTGAATTTTCAGAATAGTCATCTTAAAATTCGTCTTGAAGAGTATGTCTTCCACCCACTCCAAGATTTCCCCTTCTATAAATTGTTCAGATGATGTTTTTTCTAACATTGTTGAAATGTCCTCAATAGTCTCTATTTGCTGCTTTATTTGTACGCGCAATAAGCATAATGGTATTAAATCTTCCGGGTCATAGTGTATTCTTTTGAACATCTGCTAGAGACTATATGGTTAAGTGTAAGAGTAGCAGCATGCTAAACTTCGCCATGTAAGTCTGACATTTGGCTATACTACAATGTAATTGTGGATAAATAAAGACGTCTATTATTATTATTATAATCTAAGTTTTCAGCTAACAACTTTTTCCAACACTGTTCTAAAGCAGCTGTTGACTCTTTTGTCCATGCCTTATGTAATAAGCAAACTGCGTCTTTTAGGTTGAAGTTTTTTAAAGATGTACTAAGGTCATTGTTTTCTTGCTCCACAGTACAGAAAATGTGTGCCAATAAAGTTTTTCTATAAAATAATTTGGTTAATCTTATTGCATTTTGGTCTAACGGCTGAATCAATACGGTGCACTTGGGCGGTAAAAACATTGTGATTATTTTACCATCTTCAGAAACCAATTCCTTTTCACTTCAGTGGTTAGGTGCGTTATCAATGAGAAATAAAGCTTTTTCGGGAATGTGTTCTTTTTTCAAGAATTCTGAAACTTGCTTGCAAAATGATTTATGAAACCATTCTTTAAATAAATAAGAAGTCATCCATGCATTTTTACTAGACGTATACTCCACTAAGTGGGCTAATGTTCCTTGCAGCATCAATTTCCAAAAGAAGCCGGACTGATCAGCGTTATAGATTTGGCTTGAAGATAGCCCTTTTTCTTTTACGATCCGAGTTAACTTTTGTATAAAAGGTTTAACAGCAGAATTATCGTTAGAGTTTTTTGCCACATATTTGAAGATGCCTGAGTCCATGAAGTGACTTGAATTTCAAGAGCCAACCTCTGCTCGCTTCAAATGCATCATTATTGTAACATTATTTAAAAAAATATGTTGCTTTTTCTACTAGAATATCGTAGCTTACTGGTATATGCCGATCACGCTGTTGCAGAAACCACTCGTAAAGTTTCTTTTCCATTTCAGGACGTTCAGCGGACCGTAAAGTTTTTCTGCTACTTGGACCAGAAATGCATTACTTCATAAAACTAAAATATTAAATGCATTAAATATAAAAACATTTTTTCAAAATTGTATAACTCTTAGGCATCTATCTTGCCTCTGTTTTTCTTAATATCTGATTTGGTGGATGTTCCCACTCCATACATTCCAGCTAACTTTTTACCACTATCAGCTCGTTTTAGTTCATCTAAAATTTAAGCCTCCTTTTGGATCGACAAAGTTATGTTTTCGTGTAGGCACCACGCACCATGGCGTTTGTTGTTGAATGACTGACCCGTGGAAAGGTTCTGCTTTATTTGCGTCGGTCGCGTCGTTCATGGTGTGATATTTAACAAGATTGAACTTGTTAAGAATTTGACTGATCCGGACTAGCGAAACATAGCAATTCGGATTATCGAGTCGCAGCTGTATTCCATAATTTTTTAATTCCGGTTTCAGGTTTATGATGCGCTTAATGTACTCATGGCGATGAACATAATATCAAAAGAGAAGAAAGAAATAAAATGGATAGGCTTACCAACAAATTCGTTGCAAGAATGCAGCCAGTTGGAAAAAGAAATGCAGAAAAAGATTTCGGTGATAAAGCAGAAAGAGCGACAATTGGACGATCTGATTCTGAATCAGATTGCGTTTAAGAATTTGGCGCAACGTAATCGAGAAATGGAAAGGCTTCATGGACCTCCGCCACCTAACTCTTACATACAGTTACCTTTCATTGTTGTAAATACCAACAAAAAGACCATCATCAACTGTAGTATCTCAAACGACAAGTAAGTACACAGTTTATTCAAAAACTGCCTTATACAGTTTGGTACCATTGATATTACACATCTCAAGCATCGTAAGGATTGTAAATGACAACAATGGCTGCGACACTTTAGCACCATGTCTACTTAAGTGTCTCCAAATACTGACTGACTGAATATATAACTGACTGATTTAATTCTTTTTTATTTAAATGCTTACTCGCATTTAAGTTAAAATATGCAATTTTTTTTTCAGAATGGAGTACCTGTTTCAGTTTAACGATAAATTCGAAATAAACGATGATGTAGAAATATTGAAAGCCATTGGAATGTTATCAGGTAAATGATGAATTTTGTCAATGCTTGGTCATTTCTTAAAATGTATTTTTACAGGATTAGATAAAGGAGAATGTACTTCGGAGGATTTAGAGAGACTTAAAACCTTGATACCTGAATCATTGTGGCCATACCTGCATAGTGAGTACTACCTGATTTCCTAACAGAAAATTGAGAACCTTTGAAGCTTTAGAATATTTATAAAGAAACGATCATCTACAATTTGCAATTTATCAATGTTTCACTTTTCGGTACTTTGTTATGTAAACAATTGGCATTCACAGTGTGAGAGTTACCGCAGCAGTGTAGTACTAAGGTGGTACAAAGTCCGAATTACGTTTGACCATCGATTATCGTATCCTACCTGGACCTTACTCTTGGAGGAAAAGTGAGCGTGGTTCTCTTACCTTTTGGTGAACTGTATTTCTTAACACTAAGGGAAAACTCGCTCATCCAGTCATTCTAGAGAAAAAAGTGTGGAAGTCTCACAGTCGCGTCTTTAAACACGAAGTTAACACGAAGATATCCAACTGTCCAAAAGGTACTACCGCCATCTATGAGAAGTCACAACACATGAATTTAAAAATCTACTTTAAAAGTACTTCGATCATTTAATTTAGTTCAGCTACTGTCTTTAGATGGCGGTAGGATTTTAAATCCCGTTTTGGTATCTCTGTTTATTTTAAATGGGTATAATCAGGTGAAATACATTGATCAATGCCTGAATTAAACTAGGCATTAGAGAGGTCAAAAAGAGCTGAAGATACTAACGTCATCTATGAAACAATAGCAGAACCAAACACTCTAACTGCAAACTTAAGACTATAATAAATTGGTTTAAATCTCGTCTTCTAACGGTAAATTATAGTAAAACGTACTTTATGCCATTTCCATTGTATCCCGAAAATGTGCCTCACTACCGAACATTTATTGATGACTGAAACTAACGAAGTAATTAGAAGGAAAAATACTGTACAATATCTAGGTTTCTATATAGACCCATAACTCCTTTGGGATATACACGAAATACATTGTCAAAAACTGAATATTTCTTCTTTATAAAATCAAAAATTATGATAGATGACAGATTACGTGATATATATTCATTTTGAAGATTTGTTTTCTTTATCTTTAGCTGATTATGTAGTGATAGTTTATTTGCTTAAGAGGTGAAGGAAATAAAGTATGTTTTTTTATAATTAATGGTTGATATGTAATTGATTATCGAAGTCTGCTATCTGTACTCTATTTTTTCAATTTCTTCTTTTAATGATGTCCAAGCTCTGGCTTTGTGGCTTCCATGAGATCGTTCAAATTTATTCGAATGTTGAATGTAAACATTTTGAATAACTATTATTATATGTCTAAATTCATGTTTGTGTTCCGCTACTGTCTCAGAAATGGCGCCAGTATCTTTTAGATTCCTTTTTGGCCGCCAGAATACATTATATGGTAGCTTACGTTAACGGTTTGACAGCAACGGTGCTCGTCATTTGATTTTTTATGTAATAAAGGCGTGTAACATATCTGTACCTTTTCTAACGCATTTTCTGTCCGACTTAGAAATCGCAAGTGGCCAATCAACCCTGGAAACCATCCTGGAAGTAGCAAAAGCTGGTAATACTTCAATTATCACCGCCGACGACTACGTGGAAGCCACGCTGGACGAGGAAAACTCCCGCCAGTCGTCCAGTTTCGATGCCATGTCTCCCAGCGCGGTAGAATACTCTGACGAAGACGTCGATTCGGACATGTCCAGTGACACGGAGCTCAACTAGTGACTCTTCTGTCTTTCACTTGGGGATCTTCGCTCACTAGGAGAACCTACGTCAATCGTCCAAATTAGACGCCGTCACCAAGTGCGATGGAATACACTTTGACGAAGACGTCGATTCGGACATGTCCAGTGACATGGAGCTCAACTAGTGATACTTCTATTTATGTACTTTGGGATCCTTGTTTAATAGAGTGGTCGTTGAGATGGCTTTGGTGTTTTGGTGGAGGTGTGACGGTATAGTCTGTAATACAGGCGCTGGGTGGAGCTTGTATGCAAACCATGTTTTATTAATGGATATTAGCTGATGAAAGAAAGAAGAAATTATAATCTAGATCTTGCTGGTCGACATCTAAGTACCTCCATCTCCAGAAGACAAAAAATGTGGAAGTGACCCTTTTGATAATTTCAAGAAGAAAACCCATGACATATTATGTTGTGACATATCTCCTGACAAAAACATTTTTTAAAATATAAAAATATAGTTGGAGAACGAAATATTTTACGCAAGAACGATGCGGTTCACCGTATCGTCGGAGCTAAGCAGCGTCAGGTGCGGTTAGTACTTGGAAGGGTGACCGCGTATGGGTACTTCTTTTTTGTTTTCAATTTTCAAAATCTTCAGTAATGTGTGATACACTTTTAACTTTTGTTACCACTAGTTCAGATTTTTTATCGATAATACATACCTTTAATACAAGGATTGCTTGTAATTCCTTGGGTATTAATTTAATATCTCAATGATTGCATGCCCATTTATAAAATTTAATGAAAATAAGACATCTCAAGTGCCATCCATCTTTTACCGTATATTTGTAATTAGTTAAATAACCTCATACAACTTGTCTAAGTTTTACGTCGAGACTTGGAAAATGATGGTTATATTCAACCCGACCCTTTAAGTAAGCCACACACTGTGAGACTTGCCTCGAGGTACGTCGCGAGGCGAGGTCTCATGATATCGGCAGACGTCAGTCCCCAGTCACTCGTCACCCCACACCTTGAGACAGTATCGCAGACGGTATCACACAGTTCGCTATTTTTTTGAGAGTGAATATAAAATGGCCTTTCATGAATATTCAAAAAAACAAAAAGTTGCACTTGGTGTTGCCATTGGTTTGGTACTATTCGAGGAAAAACAGGAAAAAAGAAAATGGTCAAAGAATTGGTTTCTTGAAAGGAAGAAGTTCTCTCACATGCCACTTTTAAAAGAATTGCAGCAAAAAGAACCCAAAGATTTTTTGAACTATTTGCGTATGAACGAAAAACAATTTAATTTTCTTTTAAATTTAATCCGGCCAGACATTGAAAAGAAAAATACTGTATTAAGAGAAGCGGTATCAGCTGAAGAGCGATTGGTCGTTACTCTTAGATATTTAGCTACTGGTCGAAATTATGAAGATCTGAAATTTTCCTGTGCTATTTCTCCACAGTTACTGGGTGAAATTATTCCAGAAACTTGCTGGGCAATATACAACGCTTTAAAGGAAAAGTATTTGAAGGTACGTTTTTATAATATACTTTTTATTATTTTAAATGCAAAACATATTAAACATTAAACTTAGCTAATGCTGTCAAAAAATACTTATAATTCAGTAAACGAGTAGTAATACAGTTAACGTAATATTCCAGTGGCAGAACTAGTCTTGGAAGTTTTCATAATATGAATAAATATCTCCCTGTGCAGTTGGTTGTTGAGGTTGCTGCTCAGATTGCTGTACTGTATAAGCTATATTGGAAAAAGTATTACTCGGTTCCACATGGGTGCGGGCCTGTCGTACTTCAAAGTTTTCATTTAACTTATTCAGTTTGCCGTAGTACATTACATCATTTATAAGCTTTTCTGCAATTACTCTCTGATTAGATGTCATTTGCTTTAAATCAGAAGCAAATTTTTTTCCTGCTATGTCGCAGGGATTTTCAGGTTCCGCACATGTAGGGGGTTTAGACAAAGCCCTATGAGCTAGTTCCACAAGTTCATTTTTTTTCTCCTCCATTCCTTTTTTTCTTTTTAATATTTTAGTTCCTAGTGTTGGAGTTGATGTTGAAGCCGATGAACTTGGCCTAGTAGTACTTGGTAAAGATTCCGAGTGAGCAGGAGGAGAAAAAGCGTTATCATAACTGTCCTCATCTCGAACATTGTTTTGATTCTAAAACAAATAATTATTATTAATTCAAACAATTTAATACTACTTTTTTATTACAGTTTCCATCTTCCGAGGAAGAATGGCGCGGGGTTGCAAAGGAGTTCGAATGTTTGTGGCAATTTCCCAATTGCGTGGGTGCGATCGATGGAAAACACATACAAATAAAAAAACCTAGAAACAGTGGTTCATATTATTATAATTATAAAGGAAACTTTAGTGTTGTGCTAATGGCAATTGCAAATGCAAAATACGAATTTATAATGGTTCATTGTGGGACCAATGGTAGGGTATCAGATGGTGGAGTTTTGAGTGAAACCAAGTTTTATGAAAAGCTTATAAATAAAAAATTATGTATGCCCGATCCGACAGAACCCCATGCAACCAATGTGATGTTACCATATACATTTGTTGGAGATCAGGCTTTTCCATTAACTGAAAATTTAATGAAACCATATCCAGACAAAAATTTAACAAGAGAACAAAAAATGTTTAACTACCGACTCAGTAGAGCACGCAGAGTATCAGAAAATGCATTTGGTATTATGGCCTCACGATTTAGAATTTTTCACACAATAATTAGCATAAATGTAAGACATGTGGATGCTGTAGTATTAGCCAGTTGTGCATTACACAACTTTTTAACACGAAATGGCTCAAATCGATATATACCGCCATTGTATGCAGACTCTGAAGACGTACATTCCGGAGAAATAATACCTGGCCAGTGGAGAGAAATAGGAGAACTTATACCTCTGCAACGAATAGCGCGTGCTTCAAATGTGTCTGCGAGAGAAATTCGAGATAATTTTAAAAATTATTTCAATAACAGCGGAGCAACCGATTTTCAGGACAGGATGGTCGTTTAAAGAGTATTAAGTTTTTATACTGAAATGTCTTAAATAAAATAATAAACTACTTACTGTTATTTCACTCTCTTGACTTTCGTCTTCGCTAGTAATAGTTTCAATTCCTTTTCTAGGGATTTCAGTGTCCGAAATAAAACTTAACAGGTCAAAATACCAAAGGCTGGGTACATATACATCATCAGCTTGTGTACCCGTAGGCTTCGACTTCTGTACTTTTTTCAGCTCTCTTCTAAAAGCACAGCGCATGTTATGTATTTTTTTTGAGACATAATCTCTATTTGCCATTGGATATATTTCTTTGCATTTTTCCACCAGTCTATCTAACGCTGAGTTTTTCAAATTTCTATCCATATACGTTTTAGCTTTCACATCCCATAAACATGGGTTGCTCCTGTACATTTCAATAAATTCTTCCCAAAATTCTCTTTCCTTATTCATCTTCTTTATAATATAATAATTATAACAATTTCGGAACAACGAAATCTCACGAGATTCATGCGACTTTGGCACACACGTTGAGACTGGTCAGATTTTTCCTCGCGGCAAGTCTCAGTCTCCCGCCCGCGTCGGTCTCGTTGAGACGGTATCACACGATACAAAAATTATCGATACCGCAACACACACCATGAGATTTGTGATGTTTTTTAACAGAGTTTACACACTTTTCACAGTTCAACCCGAACTTAAACGCAACTTAAAGCGAGATTAGCGAGATGAAAGAAAACACTTGTTCACGCTTATGATGGTATATTGCAACTACACTGACATTACAGAGTGACATGCACATAGTGGACAAACACAGTAGTAACGACATATGACACTAGATGTCGCTACTTTGACCAATTTTAAATATATAACAGCTACAGTAAACTTTTGGTATACTTATTCACAACACTCCCACTTAACAAAAGTTTACTAATGGTTCTCTAAAACCTTTTAAAATATCTGTCATGCACAACTTAACTTAAACCTAAACCCTTTACAAACTTTGAATTCTTAACATTTTGTAATGGTTTCGTTAAAACATCTGCAACCATTTCGTTAGTAGGTGTATACATTAATTTCACTTTACCTTCTAACACAATATCTCGCAAGAAATGGTACCTTATATCTATGTGCTTTGACCTATCATGGAACATTGGATTGCTAGCAAGCTTCTGAGCACTTTGATTATCATTATGAATCTCAATACAATCCAATTTTCCAGTTAACTCGCTCAACAAATTCCTCAGATATATGGCCTCTTTTGCTGCCTCGCTTAGAGCCATATACTCTGCCTCAGTTGTCGACAAAGCAACAGTACGTTGTTTACAGCTTTTCCATGAAACTGAACCCCCTGAATATTTAAATACATAACCAGTAAATGACTTTCTGTCTTGCTTATTGGACCCCCAATCTGCATCTGCAAAACCTGTCAAATTTAAATTATCCTTAAAAAATTTCATAGACAAGCTCTTTGTACCCTTTAAATAACGAAGTAAACGCTTTGCAGATTGCCAATGAACTTTAGTGTATGAGTTATTATACTGACTTAATAAGCTCACAGCATGAGAAATATCAGGTCTGGTCATTACCGAAAGGTACATTAAACTTCCAATAAGCTCTTGATATGGAACTTTTGGATCACAAATTTCACCACTGATATCGCTCAAGTTGATACTACTGTCAAGCGGAGTACTTACTACTTTGCTATCTGACATACCAAAACGACATAAAAGTTCATTAATATACAATTCTTGATCAATTGACAAACAATTTTTCGAATAATCCCTAGTAATTCTTATACCTAAACATTGTTTTGCCTCTCCTAAATTCTTAATTTTAAACTTTGAGTTTAAATGACCTTCAAGAAACTTCATTTCATTGTCATCAGACGAAAAACAGAAAAAATCGTCAACATAGAGAGCAACAATGGTTAACAAATTACTGTTATTCCTTTTAATGTACAAACAAGGCTCATATTTGGACTTAGAATAACCAATTTTTGACAAAACTTGGTCGACTTTTTCGTTCCAAGCACGACTAGATTGTTTTAATCCATAAACTGCTTTCTTCAATCTATACACTTTATTTTCTTTATCTTTAATGACAAAACCTTCAGGTTGCTGCATAAATACATTTTCTTTCAGAATACCATTCAAGAAAGCTGTTTTCACATCCAAGTGTAAAATTTTTAGATCTAGCCTAACAGACAAAGCAAGCAATAAACGAAAAGTTGAGTGCCTTACCACTGGGGCGAAGGTTTCAACATAGTCCACACCCTCTCTCTGTGTGAAACCTTTAGCCACAAGCCTAGCTCTATACCGGTTATGGCTTTCATTATCACTCTTCACTTTATATACCCACTTGCACTGCACCACTGTACCAACTTCTGGCGGATCTACTAATTCCCAAGTGTCATTATCGATAAATGACTGTATTTCTTCTGACATAGCTTCTTTCCACTTCTGCCCATCTGGCCTTGAAAGAGCCTCAGTCACTGATGTAGGGATACTCGAGTCATAGACTTCACCCTTGCTGTTAACACCTCCAAAATATGTCACAAAATCTTGAAAATTCTTCTTCTTGATCTGTCTTTGGGATCTTCTTGGAGTTACTTGTTCACCATTATCAAACAAGTCATGGCACTGACCTTCAGGCACATATTCATCATCATCCGAGAAGTATACATCATCTTCAGAAGATTCATCATCTGAATACATGGGATTCTGCTCTCCCACTGAATCTGGAACTTCCCTTTGCTTATCTGGAACACTATCCGGCAACACTGTACTTGGAATTTCCAAACTTGGTTTCTCTATGATTGTTACATCACGGTTTACTATGACTTTCCTTGTTCTGGGGTTAAAACACCTATATCCTTTGGTAGTTTCATCGTACCCAACAAGCACATGCTTCACTGACTTCTCGTCCCACTTGTTCCTACTGACCTTCGGAACATGAACCATGGCGGTACTCCCATATACCCTAAGATGACTAAGATTTGGTTTCTTACCTGTCCAAATCTCATATGGTGTCATTGAAAGCTTTGAACATGCTGAACGGTTTTTCAGGTAACAAGCAGTATTACACGCTTCCGCCCATAATGCCTTGGTCAAGCTCTCATCAAATAAAAGACACTTAGCCTTCTCCACAATGGTCCGGTTGAACCTCTCAGCCATCCCATTTTGCTGCGGAGTGTGACTGCTCGAAGTCTGGTGTATGATGCCTGAATTCTTTAAAAAACTATCCATTTCTCTATTACAGAATTCCCCACCATTATCGCTTCGCAAAATCTTAATCTTAACATTCTGTTGATTCTCAACTAATGATTTAAATTGCTTAAACTTATCAAAAGTTTCATCTTTTGTCTTCAGGAAATATATAAAGCACATTCTGCTGTAATCATCTATAAATGTCAGGAAATATTTAGCTCCACCAATAGATGTTGTTTCCATAGGACCACAAATGTCGCTATGAATGACCTCTAGCAGTTGCTGTGCTCGACTGCCTTCTTTGGGAAAAGGTAAACGGGCTTGCTTGCCCCTACAGCATACCTCACAACTCCCAATGCTTGTACCATTACAGATAAGACCATCAACCAACTTGGCTGTCTTATTCAGGTAGCTGTCATTAATGTGACCTAAACGTTGATGCCATAAATTGCTACTTACAGCTTGAAAACACACTGGCTCCTCACAAACGTTCAACTTGTAAACGTTGTTATGTAGACTAGCAGTAGCTACTGATACACCAACTTTATTGTAAATATTGCATCCCTCTTCATGAAAACTTACTCTATTTCCATTATTGATTAACTGGCCTACTGATAATAAGTTAGTTGTTAAACCAGGAATATACTGTACACCTTCTAGTAAAATCTTGTGCTGTTCATTGGTCATTGTTTTGATCTCAACATCACCTGCACATTCCACAACAACTTTCGATTTGTTAGCCATTACAATATCAGGTAAGTCAGGCTTTCTCCTGTTTTTTAACCACTGGCTATTGGCAGTTAAATGCTTGCTGGCACCACTATCAACATACCAATCTGTGACCTTAAAATCACCTGTTGTAAACACGGCACTAAATCCTCCTTCAAGTCTGTTATTGTTAGGGCATTTTGACATAAAATGTCCTGTCTTTTTGCACTTGTAACACACGATATTACTCAGATCCTTTTTATTATGTCCATTTCCAAAACCACTGTTTGAACTTGACCTCGATTGAACCCCGAAATCATCTGTGTTTGTTGACATTCCCGCTTGGCTAGCACCAGCTGATTTTCCTTTGAAATTCGTCCTACTAGCGCCACCTCGCGACTGTTTCCGAAAACTCGGTTTCTTGGCGGAGAATGCACCTGCATTTCCATTACCACTAGCGCCATCTGTCTGCATATCCAATAACTTGGTCTTTATTGAATCTGTGGTTATGCAGATTCCTGAGTGCTCGACGGCCATGATCATTGGTGCGTACTTGTCTGGAAGACCGGCCAGCAGCAATGATCCTACCCACTCCTCGTCTATTTTGAAACCTGTTCTGCGTAACTTTTGGGAAGTCTCAACAATCTGGTTTATGTACGACTCCATACTATCATGATTCTCTAATCTTGCCGATATGAGTGTACGTAAAAGTCCAATCTTTCGCATGAAACCACTGTCATCATATAAACGTTTGAGACTGGTCCATACTTCTTGTGCAGTCGTTAAATCTTTGACATGCGGGAACAAAGATGGATCGATGGTTAATACTAGCTTGGCCTTTGCTTTTGCTAGGGTCGTTGTGTCGGTCTCGGTACCTTCGATGCATTTGTTTAAGCCCTCTAGCACAAACACATTCTCGACGGCAAACGCCCATTCATCATAATTCTCACGGCCTAAAAGCCTTGGCACACTCGTCAGGTAGTTGACGGCCATATTTGTTCTGTGAGAAACACTTGCGTCACGACAGTTTCTTTCAACGTCTCGATTCACTAAAGTTTCGCTGCTGGGTGTCCTACTGTGGGTCTGGGCGCATAACCTGATGTTTTTTAACAGAGTTTACACACTTTTCACAGTTCAACCCGAACTTAAACGCAACTTAAAGCGAGATTAGCGAGATGAAAGAAAACACTTGTTCACGCTTATGATGGTATATTGCAACTACACTGACATTACAGAGTGACATGCACATAGTGGACAAACACAGTAGTAACGACATATGACACTAGATGTCGCTACTTTGACCAATTTTAAATATATAACAGCTACAGTAAACTTTTGGTATACTTATTCACAACAATTTGTTATCAGAGATCTTGGTCTCGCGGCATGTCGCGAGGAAGATCTCACAATGTGTGGGCTACTTTATAGAGAAATGTCCATATCTCTATATATACGAGGGGGTACCAAAAAAAAAAACGGAATTATTTTTTAAAAGCTATTTATTTTCAACTTTTTCACAAAGTAAAAAATCTAGGTTACGATTTGAAAGGATTCATCTAATAGTGATTTTGAACGTAACCTTAACTATAGCCTTCAAGGTAAGATAGTTTTTTTGTTAAATGAAAGCCCTATTTTTGACACTGGAAAAGATCGATAAATTTTACGTTAAAGTGTACGTTTGCCGATGACATTGACTGTAATGTAATGGGTATTTTTGAGGATGTCCAGAACGTGGGTAAAAGACAAAATATGTGGAAAAATACATTTTGTTAAGAAAATGTGTCTAATAAAGTTATTAGATTTTAAAGAATTCATGTAATGGTGACATTGACTGTGACCTCCAAGCTCGTTTGAAGGTCAAGACAGTTTTCTTAAATGGAAACTCCTATTTTTGACACTGTAAATAAAAAGAGCAAGAAACTTAATGTCCAAGTATGTCCATGACCTTGACTATGACGTTCAAAGTCATTTGACGATTAAATGAGTGTGCCAATAAACACGACCATCACCATCAGAGTCATGTTAAGATCAGATAAATTTTCAAGTAAACTTCTTACTTTATATGTCGAGGATATAAATCAGCGAAACATTAAAATTTATTTGTTTTTGCTTTAAAATGTTGGATAAAAGATGTTCATTGCCAAAGTAACTATTCACACTAATGCAATACGAATGACCCATACTCTCACGAGAGCGGCGCCGCGGGTTTAGTCTAGTAGTAGATATAATGATCAATGTGGAAATTATTACCTGTCCACGATTGTCGGTAGTTCAGACTCGTTCTCTCATAACTAGTTCACGTGGGTAATCGAGATTCTGTTATGGCACTCATTCGCGGTGAACACGTGAACTAGTTTTGCGAGGAAAAGATGATTCTGGCTGAAAGTAGATGTGGTCTACTTGCCGTTGAACAGATAAAACAAGATGATTTCGTCCGTTCGGCCAGAAAAAGAAGACAGCCAACCATGGACAGCTGTTTCGCGCTTCTTAGCTACTCATAAGCATGGTATAGGGTATAGACTTGTTCTCTTATCTGGTCGGACGGACGCAAGCATCTTGTTGAATCCGTTCAATTGCAAGTAGAACCCATCTACTTTCAGCCAGAATCATCAGCCATCTAGCGGCACAGCTATTAAACTCGAACTGAGATCCATGACAGTTCCAACTAACAGCAGCGATGCGCGATCCACAATTGTCGATTCTGGTGCGATAGATGGCGCTTTGTGCTAGCTCACTCTTCAAAGTTGATCATGTTGCTACTCTTGCAGCTAGTGTAATAGGTTCTAGATAAATGGAGTGTCTAACATATGCAATGAAATGTTTCGCCAGTGGGCGTGCAGCTTTATGATTTCATATACAGCACTTGGAGGAAACATTTGTGATCAGATGGTCTACTGATAAAATCCAAATTGTTCTTCGACCTTTAACAGCTGATCTTTGGAATACACAACTACTGACATGTTTCAGACTTGATTTTTCAAATAATTTTGATGCAGCCTCTCACATTTTGCAATAAAAGAAACATTGAATAAATATTTTACATCAGTTCTTGCAAATTGCTCTGGTAAATATAATTATACTTATACATATATACTTAATGCAAAAAACCTGAATATGGCATTATATTTGGCATAACAGGAAATAGACCAAAGTTATCTCGATGACCATCTTATTGTTTACATACCAGGACGGTGATGTGATTTTGCAGGTTTGGTGGAAATGGGATTTTTCGTTTGTTCATCTTTGTAATGATTTGTTGAGATAATGGCATTGACAATAATCAAATCTAAGCGAATAACCAATATTTCTGTGTTATCTACCGCGGTTATAATATGGTTCAAGATGACACACGGGTTGATAACGTCAGTTACACGAATAGCTTGAACGCGTTGGTTTTAACCGCGGTTTTGTTGCAAGTTGTTTATTTTAGAAAAGTGCGTATATAATCTCTGATTATTTTTATTATCACTTAATAATCGGTGCTTTGTTGTCTACAACGGTGTATGGAAAGTTTAAATAAGAAACCTTTCATAATATTCATGGGAGAAATGTATTTTTTCAGATTTTTTTTTTTAAGATGGAACCATGGTCTTGTAGCTATGATAACTTTCAATTATCTAAAGTTTTCCGCATGTCAAAGAAAACATTTATTGATTTAGCAGAAATGATGAAAAAAGATATTAGCAAAACTGTATACAGGTGGACATCATCCAGTGAGTTAAATGGCCATATTTGAATATTCTTGTGGTATATGGCTACACAGGATACTTTGTTAAACATAGGAACTAGACTGAAAGTGTTCCCAACAACAGCAATGAGTATAACTAATAAGGTGCTCCATTTATGCTAACACTGAAGTCAGCTTGTATCAAGTTTCCCAAAAATGAAGATGAAGTACAATAACAATATCCGATAACCGGCAAAATTCTAACTTGTCACATTTCAAATAATAACCAGAAATATAAAACTACTCCGGAGTTGGGAAATACCACAATTTTGCGGTGATAACTATGACATACAACAGCTGATTCATGACGTCACGGATCTTATAACCAAACTGAAAACCACACTCGCTTGAACGGATCGGTAAATACCAACCCAAAATGGTAAATACCATTTTCATTTGGTTATCTGCTTGAATTTGATTAATGTTGGTCTGTTGATGGTTTGACAGATTTCAGTATAGCTACAAACGTTTCTAAAACAACACAGTCCTTTTATGCATGCCACAAAACACCTCTCATCTATTGACTTATTGGTAAAAAATGAATGGAACACCTTGGACGGTTTTTGTTGGTACAACCAAAACTTGATTAAAATATAATACAAGGTGATAAGAACAAGTGCTTAAAAATTTGTAATAAATGGTTAGAATTTTGTAGTGGACCAAGAATTTTGAATGAGTATGGAGTGATTTATCTTGTTTTCTCATATTTGTTCATATAATATATTGATTTCTGTACATAATTATATATCGTTTAGATAGTTTTAGTTTTTATACAGTTAAAAATGACTTCTTGTCCATTCATATGGCCAATATTAAGTTTGTAGAGAACCTCTCATTTTTTGCACGACCAAATATATATTTTTTATTAGTTATCTATTTTTATGTTAACAGTGTAATTTATAAGGGAATTAATGTATCTGTCTAATAGAAATGCCATTTTCTAGGATAGTTTTTTATTATTTACACAAGAAACTAGTACAACTTAACAGTTTTTGATCGATCTGTGATCTCAGAGAAATAAAACTACATTTGGTACCTTCTCTGGTATTTCAAAATTACATTTCTGTAAAACTGTTTCAATTAATAAAATATTTACATAACCTTGCTAACAGTTGTATCTCCCTATTGTAAATCATCATCATCATACAGGTCATCAAAATCTGCAAAACAAAATCCACTTTCAATCCCAACTATTTTTATGGAACATTAATTTTTATCCCAAACATTCATTGCGCTTGGCAAACAATGTGCAGCACTGATAAACATTCAGGATAATCAGCAATGGGCCTTAACCCTCCAGGGAACAGGCGATTCTGAATGCCATCATGGCACAGGTGTGGCCTATGAGGACATAAAATGTTGATAAATTTATTAAAAATATTAATTGGAAAATTGTACAATTATTAATTTTTTGTTTTAATATTTATTGGGGAAAAATGATGCACAAACTCATTTTAAAAAATTTAAAAGTATATTTTATTTAGAAAATGTTACTATTTTTGACATTTTTTTGAAGAACCATTGGAGGAACTAAACCTTGGTAGATGCAATCAGCACAGAGGTGATTGGCATGTTCTAAACAAAGCCATTTTTGGCAAAAATATTGTGTATTGAGATTTCACATGTGTCAATATCAGATTCATCATTTTCCATTGTATCTATTTTGTCAGCTTCATCTTGGGATTGAATTTCTTCCCACAGAACCCAAAGTCCTGCTTGGTCTCTTTCATAAGGATTAATTGAAGTCATTATGATCTAAAATGGACCGAAATAACTGAATATAACATATAAATAGTCACAAAGTTAAATGCAACTTACTTGAAATTTTTATCACGTTAATGCATGGGTATGTCCTTACAGGCTAAATGGGGCAATAACAGTACGACAACAGTATAAATCACACTGACCAGTGTACCGATCTGTACCCATATATGAAGGAAGATGGAAATTCACTGAGCTATAATAGCGTGCGCCCAAAAGCTGATGTGTTGAATAAGTGGTGGGCCTCTCAGGGCACACCCGTTCCATGGAGGGTTAAAATGGAAAATTTCCTCTGGGAATTTTGATTGTCCCCTGTGAGTACGATTGAGCTTTAAGAGGTTCATACATAAGGGCCTCACAAGAATTGGAGGGATGCATTGGTATTATACTTATCTCCAATTTAACTTTGCCTTGAGGCCCCTTCTACTACAGACCATGTCCTCGAAAAACAATCCTACTCGACCAGTTACTAATTGATTACAGAAGTTACCATTAAAAAAATCAGCGTGCACTGCCTTCTCGTTAGCTGTTAAGTCCATGAGAAGTCCGGAAGATCCTCCTGCCTGAAAAAATTGTTTCTATAAATTTCACCTTACTTCATAATAGAACTATTACCTCTTCTAGATCCATGTAAGGTCCAGCCCCCTCAGGAAACATCTCATCAGCTACTAATGCCGGCTTCATGATTTTGTTATTTTAAAAAACACAAGCAAAAAAATTGTACTATTTTTTGTTTGCTATGATGCTATGGATTTACGCTTTTTATACTTTTGACAGCTGCTATATGAAAATGATTGACGTTTGGACGTAGTTTCAATTTAGCCATGTGCCATCTGTTGAGCATTAACATTAATAGTGTCACAGCAATTCTGCTGCAATTAGAAAACTGTACGCGTTTCTTACTTGTATAAATAATAATAATGTATTATTGCCAGATAGAAACGCGTACACAGGCTTATGTAGTCTTGTCTGATCGTACTTGCATAATATGAAGTACGAAAAATGTTCAAATGTTTCTATTGCATTTTTTAGATAGCTACATTAAGATGGAATATCATATGTAATAGGTATAATCAATCCATCACGCCAACTAGGTAACGGATACAAATAAAACTTAAGGTAATTTAGTACCATTTCCTTCCCATTTAGTATAATTTGTTATTCATGTACCATTTGAATTTGGATGTAACTATTTTGAAAGACTCGCCAACATGTTGTCAGGGGCTAGCGAGCAGTTTCATATCTCTCGCTCTCTCGTTCTTCTGCGATCCTAATACCAAGGTTGGCGATTTTGCCCAGAAAACTGCTTTGTTCTTTCCTTTCTCTTCATTTGACATGTGACATGACAACTTACATAGAAACAGCAGATGTATTAAAATCAGAAGTGTAGAAATCTATATTTCTCATATCGACAGCTTATTATAGTCGCTAATAGATGTCGCAATACTCTGTGCTCCTCAGTGCCATCAGCTAACAACTTAGTAAACTAATTCTTACTGTTAGAAACCTGTATATTTATCATATTAGAATATAAACTTAGATTTACCCTTCATAGATGGCACTGTTCCCGAGTCTATTATTGGTTGCATATCCGTCCCTGCCTTTACTGATAAAAACAATCAGCAAAGATATGATTTCTGGCTTTTCTGCTATCCTAATAGGAAACTTGGATATTCTGCAGAATGATGGTGCCTCACTCCAGTCGAAACTTTATAAAATGTGATATGGTTTTTGAATCAAGAAAAACCATGCAACCTATTTCTGTCGGTCTGTCCGCTAATCATTAGTTCTTCTATAAACGGAAGTAATGTTTTCGGGTTCTGATGAGGTTTCTACACCAAGTTACTAACTACTATTATGCCAATGACGAAAAAGCTTCGTAGGTTTTGAAAATCGGTCCAGTGGCAGCGTAATCATAGACGAGAGAGGGGAAAAATTCTCAAATTTTGTTGTTTGACGTTCTTTGGATCATTTTTGGAAAAGCATTTTAGGAGCCATTGGGGGTTAGGGGTTGTAGGAGATGGGTAAGTGTATGTCTCAACTGCTATAACTTCGAAACTACTACTGGGATTTTGATGAAATTTTCACGTAAGGTTAGTCACTACGCCAAGGACGAAAAATCCGGCCAGTGGCAAAACAAAAAAAATCTCCCAAACTTGAAATTTTTGACGTGCTGCTCATTTTTTGGAAATTTATTGAGAAGTAAACATTGGAGGTTGGAGAAGACATATCTAAATATTTGGGCGTCAATATATTTGTGCAAGGCATGGAGACTAGAGACTAATTGTATGGAAATGTTTGGCTGGCTTTGTAGTTAACTTCGTTGTCAGGTTTTCAATATCAGATCTTGATTCATTAGAAGATCACCCCGATTATGTTCACTCATGAATACGATGTGGACTATAAATATTCCTTGGCGCCTTGAAATAAAAACGAGATTAAGTTTAAAAAAACTTTATTGTCCTAAAAGACATATAGATGATGAAACAATTTTTAAAATGCATTGCATACGATCAAGAAAGCTATAGTGATCAATATGTCATGTAAACGTCTTGGTATTGAACCACTGCGCCATTAGTTATTTTCTTCCATATGAAAGTACGTTTTCACTCTAAAAATTGCAGACACATGTATCGACACATGTTGCACAACATATTGCAGAAATTTGCACTAATGAAAACGTACGTTCGCCAGCACGTGTATCACCACATGTTGCAGGTTGTTTACTTTCCAACAAACGTCCGTTACATGTTGCACAAAACATTGCAGACTGTTTCTATTCCAATAAATTTTTGATATTGGTGCCGGCATATGACGCACAGTATCAGTATCAGTAAACCATACAATATATTGAAAATATTATCCTGTATTCTACAATCGCACGGCATATGGCGTATTTTTACGAAAGCTCTAACTTTACAACCCATCTCATAACTTCAGAAATATTTTTTTCTCTTCTGAAATTCTCGGCATATGCCAAATTGTGTTCAACGCTTGAATATAAAATGCATTTGGATTTAGAACCCACACACGAGGCGAGACTTTTATTTCCAATGGGCTGCTCGTAAAGTACAGCTTTCCTCACGATAAGTACCTACAGTATATTTTGGGATTCGAAACTACGAGTAGACCTATTTTTATTGAATACAGTATTACATAAGGCTATTCATTATGGCAGTTTTTTAATTTCATACTGAGGATCAGAAAAATGTCTAACGAAACAGATATCAGATAAACTGGAAAGGAAGAACGAGCATTAAAGTCGTCGTTCCGTATACTAAAACAGTCGCGGAGGCAGAGCCTAAACATCGAGGTACCACGGATACTCTAAGAAGGTTAAACATCTTGTTAAACCAATTTTCTAACTGCCTAATTTTACTAGAATTTAGTAAGGTTGTGTTGGAATATGGTTCTACATTCTCGACACCTTAAGAACAATAACAATGCCAGTGAAAAAGATTGGTCGTGATTGGATCGCATCGTCCAGAAGATTCTACTTTACTGTGTTAGTTATTATTATTTATTATTCGAGAATGAATAGCCAGACAAATTTGTCTAACAGGCCAATTCCGGGGCAGCCTCACCTAAAGCTAACGCTTGACACAATCACCATCATCATTATTATCATCATCGTCAACAGCCACTGCTAATGCGGTTTTGGAATACATGTTTGCTTTAAATTTCATTTCTTAGTTACGTTGCCCCTTGGAACAATTTACTCTGAAGTCTCACCGTATTACAAATTCGAACAACCTGTTCAACTTGAACTATTGCTCGTTCTTCCTTATTTAATAATATTCGAAAGAAATATATACCAACTGTCGTACCGCCACTGTAAATACATCCTCTCATTTAGCTTCCTTTTTACAGTTTATTTACAAACCATAGTTGAATTGAAGAGAAGCGAATTATGATATCAAAAAAGCATTACATTATAAAACACATCTTAATATAAATAGTAGTCACTATATTTCTAAAATGCGTCTTATCACACATTAAATCGGTTTTACAAACTATGCAACGCGTGTTAAACACACACAACAACAGAAAAAAAAAATAATAAAAACACAACCGTTTTGGTTATAAGTAGAAATAAATTAACAACAGAAAATAAGTACGTATTTGCGCACCAGAGATTATTCGGAGAACCGTATATCTGTTTAATAAACAATGTAAATCTAGTTATGTTTAAAAAATATAATTAAATATGATTTGAATTTTTTTTCATCTTTTTGAAAGCAAATATTTCAATTAATCTGTTGAAATGAAAATCTTTAAAAATCCCCATAAATGACAATTTATAAACACTGCCGTACCGTTCCCGTGAAGCAGAACCTAAATCATGCGCTTGACGTTAAACTGTTTATAAACAGGAGTTCCCCAACGTAAGTCCACAACGTTGACGCTAGACTTGGCGAAGTTTTTTCCGCGTGCTTTTCTCCCTGTTTGACATTGACATATATTTTTTTGCTTTTGTAATCGGCGTGGGTTCGCTTGAGATTATTTACTATATTTTACTTTGTAAATCTAAATAATAAAAAATATCAGATCATTTGCATAATGAATTTTTGCAAAATTCAAATCACAAACGGACCACAAAAAAAGAAATACTAGTACCTCTTGTCTGTCAACCAGAATGATCTACAGACAAGTTTGGTCTAATATGTGAAAAAGAGTGCATTTTTGGGTTAGGTTATGCGTCAGAGTTTATAAATTGATTGCTCTATGATACTGACTTTTTCGGTTTCGATTTCTTATTTCTAAGATTCACATTTGATCAGTCAAAATTGTAAAAAAATACGCAGTCTCCGAATAACCATCACTGTGACAATGATTCACAATTACAATAATAAGTACATTTTGTTCAATGATTGTAAAAATTGAAAAGTTAATCAACCAAACAATAATAATCGTTCATGTTTGTATTACGCTGGTTTGTACTCACTGTCCACTTGCACTTCGAAAGTGACTGAACCGGCCCTGTTCAATGAGCCACCCCTGTATATTATGTTCTTGGCCCAGGCACGGCATTCGATGTTAACGATCACGTTTGCTGAAAGAAAAAGAAAAAGCCATCAAAAGATGACAGGTTATAGCAACATCCAGAGGTTGCGACACTCCACAATGACAAGCCAACAGTTCACTTGAATTAACAAATTCCGAGACCCCCGTCACGACATATATTGCATAGTGAAGACTGAAAATGTCAACTTTTAATACCCGTAACAATACTAGGATACTTTAATACAACTAAAATTTGTTTTCCGATGTATAAGCGTTATTAACTTTATAATTTATATGGACTAAGTAGACCGATATACATATTGGTGTCGGTCGATCGCTATTTATAGCGTTAGATATGTCGGCCAACCTAACTAGCGCCATATAGTTTTGATTTACAGATTATCCCCCATTTACCCATTACAATTTTTTAACATCCTGTATAGTATTAACAAAATTTTTACAGACTATCTCTAAGCAGAAAAACGTACTCTTATTATATAAAATGTAACAAAAAAACAGTTTCATTTTAGTGTACTTTTATCAATTATGGTACTTGGCTCCAATATACTGGCCATTGTGAGAAAAAAATGTAGTAATTCTGTTAACAGATTCGTAATCAACAATCGGAAAAAATCCAGGATATAAATTTTCAGATACCTAGCTGGTTCCAATATTCGCCTCTGGAAGTTAATTCCGAACCATGGATGTTGTGTTGTGTGTTGTCTATATCACGCACATCAGTGTAAGATTAACGATAGATAGGTACATTTAGTCTAATCGTATTAGACGAAAATACCCCTGGTTTGCGAAATAATTGTAAAGTCATACATACATAATTTCAAGCTTTATCATTGTATACTAAGTGACATATAAATCCGAACACCCAGTTTAAATGGTTTTATTTTAATAAAAGTTGGTGAATGTATTTATCTTACTGTAAATAACAAGTGAAAAAATTTTTAGCCTTATCAGTTGGACATTCCGGTTTTTATACTGCTTTTTTTTAATTCACTAACGCTCTAAAAATGAATATTTCAGCCGCAGTAAAGAATCAACGTTGGCGGATTTTGGTTCTTGACATCCTTTACGATCGGTTACGATGCCTAGAGTACGGAGACCTGTACGATTTCGTCAACTTAGTGAGTTTGATAGGGGCCGTATAGTGGGACTTCGGGAAGCTGGACTTTCTTTTCGGGCAATTGCAGTTAGAGTGCAAAGAAGTGTAGACACTGTGGTTAGGTGTTGCTAGGCATGGCCTCGAGAAGGCCGTACGCAAAGAGCAAGGGGCACTGGACGCCGCCGTAGAACAACAGACCGTGAAGATCGCCGCCAAAGATTATTCGCCTTAAGGAACCGTTTCTCCACTACCAGGTCCATTGCAAATGAATGGTTTGCAGAACACGGAAGACCTATTGGCATGCGAAGTGTTTACCGACGAATGAGAAGTTTTGGCTTGTTTTCATACCGGCCACACTGGGGCCTCCCTTTAACTCGAGAACACCGACGTAATCGCCTTGAGTGGTGCAGACAACGGTCACTCTGGGATCAGGAATGGAACAGTATTGTCTTTAGTGACGAGTCTCGATTTTGTTTAGGCATGCACGATGGTCGTGCCAGGGTTAGAAGGCGACGTGGTGAAAGAAGGAATCCACAGTTTTTTGTTGAAAGACATGTTCATCACACTGTTGGAGTTATGGTTTGGGGTGCTATAGCTCATGGTTCCAGATCACCTTTAATCTTCATCAGAGGTAACATGAACGCGCAGCGTTATATTTACGAAGTTCTAGAACCCCATCTTTTACCCTATTTTGACACCCTGGCAGATCCAACTTGCCAACAAGATAATGCCCGACCTCATGTTGCAAGAGTCACAATAGACATTGTTACCATGGCCACCAAGATCTCCCGACTTATCCCCAATTGAGCACGTGTGGGGGATATGATGGGTAGGAGATTGCTCAATTTGCAACGTCCTCCTCAGACTCTAGAAGCACTTCGAGAGGAGTTGGTGGTTGCCTGGAATGAGATACCACAGGAGGACATTGACCACCTGATCAGAAGCATGCCTAGGCGCGTTGGAGAATGCGTAGCACATCAGGGTGCATCCACACATTATTAAAGGTCAAAGGGCTTTAAAGCAGTGCACTCATTTTGAAATTTTTATCATTTACTTATTATGCTTCATTAAGTACTTATACAAAATTTTATTAAAATAAAACCATTTAAACTGGGTGTTCGGATTTATATGTCACTTAGTATATCTTGTATAGTTTTCAGTAGTATGCCTCCAACGTTTATTATATATTATCTCAGTGAGAGACATATCGGTAAAATGTCTCTATTCACCTGTCGCTTTTGAAAGCTTGTTTAATGCACTGCGAGTTAATTACCTCAAGTTAGTGGTTAAACACAATGTGCAGATAACAATACGGAAAAATAAGCAGCATTTTGATTGCTATGGTTAATAAATACAAAATGTCAATGAATCTTTCGTATAGTTTCCCCTGTATTCCCCTATAGCCCCACGGTACCCAATGGCTTTTTAGACCTTAGGCCTTCGTGGTAGTTGGAGTATATAAAAAAACAAAATACAAATTTTAGATGCAACAAATGCATTATGTCACACTTCAAGATATAATTGAAATTGCTTAATTCCCGATTTTTTGTATACTTAGCTTTGTCTAACAGATGCATAATTTCAGTGAGATCAGCAGCCTCTCAATAACAATATAATAGAATTTATCGCGAACAGCTGAGCAAATTATACATAGGACTTCTATCATTTAATTTTCCCATTGTTACCGGGATCAGAAGCTTCTTAATGATAGAACTTTTTGACTAATACTAAAGACGTAACATTTACAACCCCCTACCCCCTTCAACCCTACAAATTTTTTTCGAAAATGACCAGGAACCTTTTCTTTACTTTTAGCGCCCTATCTTTTATACGGAGTATAGTTTCTGGAAAAATAAGTATTGTAACAAAAACACCATTTTTACTGTTCAAAGTCTAATTTTTTTAACACTAACATCTAACACTAATTTTCAACATTTGCAACTAATTTATGACTTTGTAACCATGTTGACTGAACTACCCCATGTTAACTCTACGCTCGCCGTCGACTTGACTGTCCTCTCCTCCTTTCCACCGTCCTTCGTCGCGCCTTTATATTACGAAATGGACTAATCGATACATCTCGAACGGTTCCAGTCTGTAGAAGTAGAATGCTCTCGAACCAAGAATCGCCTCGCACAGTCGCGTAACTCTGGTTGCCTAAGCGTCGATGTTTCTGGACACCACCCAATCTTTTGGTGGATGTACGAAGGTGTCTCGCTGGTATCCAGAGTTCCAGTTATACGAGGGCATTACTGCATAATTAAGGTGACCATCAGAACACATGTCAAAGGCAGTCAAAACAGGGAATAGAACATTTTCTACTAGCTATTTAATTGTCTCACTTCAAGAATTGGGTCGTTTCCATACAGCGTCGCGTAGAATTGTTTATTTCATACAAATACTAGGTACGTGGAGGTGGACACAGTGGACAAGACCACCGGCAGGGGTATTACATAACTTGAAAAGTGACATTATGTCGGTTTTTTTTTGACATTTTGTAGGTTTTCCTACAAGACGTCAACTTGGACCTAGCTGTCGTACACTTGTAGCAAGCGCGGAGTGAACTATTTGCACATTCGCCTACCTAGTCACCAAGTTGACATTTTATTGTTTTTTTTTTGACATTATATAGGTTTTTTACGTAATAACTCTGCCGGAATGTTGCAAACGTCGAGTACAAAATTGTTTTTTTTAAGATGAAGGACGACTATTTTGAACTATTTATAAGCATCATGTAACATGGTGGTACCTAAAAAAAAACAGGTCTGCATGAAAAATGGCTCAATCAATTCACTGATAGCGTTTTAGCTGAAACTACTTTTGCACTGGTGCGTATTTTATGTTCTTTTGACAAAACCAGTGTGTATATATTCAAGTTCTTTTGGTCCGCACATTGAACTACTTTTGCACTCAATCTTGTCAACTGACTACTGTGTCATATTTTGCAGCTTTGACTTGAGGCTTAGCATGCAACCAGTTTTTTCGTGGCTCCTCACCACTTGAATGAAAGAAAATTTTAATTGCCAGATGTGGATGAAACAGGGCAGAGTGATTTAAACACAAAAACCAGTTTTATCAAAAGAAAGCGGTATGCTTCACGCTCGATCTGGCCTTGATTTTGCAGTGCTTTTTGGAGGATGTATATTTTCTTTAGTTTAAGAAAAAGGTACTGATACCGCACAATGGTGAATACTCCATATTTGTACGAAAAAGATCCGTTTAGACCGAATAAGCGAAAGTGATACGTTAGCGTTTCCACTTCAAATGAACTGTCCGCCATAGGCAAATATTGAAAAAGGGATAATGTATAGCCATCGTGTGCCGTGTCGGCCATCCTTATTCTATATATAGCAAAAACAAACGAGTATAACACCAGCACCCCCACTCCTCGCAAAGGACAAACAAAGGGATCGACGAAGGAGTGTCCTTCCAGTCTCTTACCCAATATACATTTGGATAACTGGACTGTAACCTTCGCAATCGCGTGTAGATGTTCCGTATATTTTTAGCCAGGTTGCTATGGGACGGATTCACTCGATTTGTCTAGAAATTAACACAATGATCATGATAATTGCTTCCACATCAGATAAAATTACCATATAGTGAACTGATTATATTGTTAGGAGTAGCTTGGATGTCACAAAGTTTTAGCTCAGGATCACATTTACAACGAAACTTGGACATTCGATTTAGGGAACTAGGACGTCTGTACGTTGGTCAAAGTTCTACTGTGGTACATCTTCAGCCAACAAAGTTCAAAATCTTGCAGAGCTGGTAAGACGTTAAATGAGAACAGAAGAATCAATGTTCAGGGTATCCCAGAGAATATTAAGGACTTCTAAGTTTTAAAAAATACCATACCTTTTAGGGAAATTTTCTCTATTGAAAACAGATCTCCACAAATACGGATATCACTTATTTCAAGATTACCT